GCCCAAGTAGCCAGAAAACACATCTCAGGTGGGGTGGAGGGAAAGCACCAGGTGATCTGGAGCTAAGGGACCAAGGACAGAAGTGGAGGCACCATAAATCCAGGCTGAAATGGTAGTTTCCAAACTTACAGCAAATGCAATCCCTCACTGGGATGCACTGGTGCCTGACTACACCCCTGACATCTGATCTAATTGGTACGGGGAGCAGCTGGGTGTTTTAAAAAGTATAACAGGCCCTGGAGGTCTGACAGGAAGAGGTGGCCATGACCTAGCTTCAGGAAGCCTGAGGTTCCAGGGAAAGGAGCCCAAGGCCGAGGGCTTTGGGCTGGCCCAAAATGGCACTGGGGGGTGGGGAAGATTAGTTGGACTGTGAGAGGGGAGGGCAGGAGGGAAGGAGGGAATGAAAAAGCAGAGAAGCAAAAACCCAGGCAGTGCAGTGAGTTTGAGATCAATTCCTATCACTAATTTTCTGTATGACCTGGGACAAACTGCTTCCCCCCTCTGGGGCTCAGTTTCTCCCTCTGGAGAAAGGAATTGGCCTTGATGACAGCTGAAGATCCTTCTGGCTCCAGGGCTGGAGGTTGCCCTGGGCCCCAGCAGGCCAGGCCTCCTACTGTGTGAGACAGGCCCAGATGGAGGTCTGGATCTGCAGTCAGGGCAGGGGGCAGGCACAGAGAGAGCACCCCGGCCCCACCCTGGATTTCCCAGACACACAGTCACTGCCAGACATGGTTTGTGGAAATTTCCTCTCGGCCCCTCCAGGCCAACGTGCCCGTCCTTCCAACTTCCGAGTGGAAATTTCCACTCTCCCCTGACAGCCTGTGGGAGCTGTGCCTCAGAGCTGGAGTCTGGGAGGGATGGGGTAGGAAAACCATCCAGGGTAAGGCCACGAGGGTCCAGGCATCTCCCTTCAATAAGCATCTATGGATCACCTCGCCTGCTGGGGCTGGGCATCCGGGATGCTGGGCAGGACAGGTCAGGGCAGTCTCCAGCCTCAGGAAGCATACCCCTTCCTGGAGGGAGAGAAGAGTCACAAATGCTGAGAATAAAACGGGTGAGGAAATAGGAGTGGGGCTGCAGGCGGGAGCCCATACTTCGGAGAGAGGATAAGCATCTGTGTGATTATCTCAGGGAAGCCCTGCAGCAGGGTCCTGGGAGGAGTTGAGGTGATGACATCAGTTTCCTGTGGGCTCTTCCTGTGGTCAGGACTTCGTATGTTATTCTTAGTGTTCCAGGGAGCCCACAGGAGGTTGGTGAGTAGTTGAGGACAGGGTCTGACTTATACTTTATTCACTTGCTTACTTATTTTGTAAGGCAGGGCCGATACAGTCACCTGCCTCCGCCTCTCTGTAGGGCATGCGTTCCAAGCCCCAGTCAGTGCCTGAAGCTGATCCCTAGATACAGTTTTCCCCTGACATACACACTTATGATACATTTTAATTTCTAAATTAAGCACCATAAGAGATGAACAACAATGACTAACAATCATGCTAATGATAAAATAGAGGTCCTCCCTAGTGGCCTAAGAACCCCCCAGTCTCAGAGTTATCACCACTACAGCATGAGTTCCATCCCCGGCCAGGGAGAAACCCACATGGCGCAGCAGACCTCTCCTGCCTCGACTGCTGCTCCCCTCAGCAGTGTATTTCAATAGATCCTCCTGTTCTGCTCCCCACTCTGTCTCTGATGAATCCTCTCACTCACACCCCCACACACACCTCTGGCCTACACCCCAGCTCTTCCATGCAAAAAAAAAAAAAAATCTTTAAACTAATAATAATAATAACAATATAGAACAATGATACCAACACTGTCATAAAAGTTATGTGAATGTGGTCTCTCGTTCCCTCTCAAAATATCTGATATTTTCAGATCTTGGCTGACCATGAGTAGCTGAAACCACAGAAAGTGAAGCACTAAGGGCGGAACTTGGATTTGTCTCAGTATCAGGGACAGGCGCTTCCCCAGGCTTGCTCTAGTTCCATGAAGCTGGCCTATATGCACCTATTTTACTGCAGAATGAGCTTCCACAACAAATACTACACAGTTGTATAATTTAGAGGCATCTGCAGTGGAAGGTGGGGGGCCGGGGAGGGAGAAAGAGGAGGGGGAGGCAGGGATGGGGAGGGTAGGCCCCACTCCTCCTCCTGCGGCTCCCTGATGGACTTCTGCTGGAGGGAAGGGACGCGAGCATGGGAGCCACCAGCCTGGGTGGAAACTGAAGAGCCCACAGGAAACTGATGTCACCTTGAGTTCTAACCCTCTAGGGGCATCACCCCCACAAAGCCAGCGTTGCACATGCCAGACCGAGGTGGGTGAGGGCACCAGGATCTCTTCTCCTGCTTTCAAGTAGTTGACATGGCAAAAGCACTAGGCAGGGCAGTGGGGTGGAGAAGCTGACGTTAGAAGGTCTCTGGGGCTGCTGTGGAGTGGCCAGAAGAGTGTAGAGGGGCCAGGACAGGAGTAGGTGGGCTAGAGTTGAGGCTCCTATAAACATCCCAGCAAGTGATGCTGGTGGCCCAGGAAGAGAGTAGTGGAGGAGGTGGTGCAAGCATCCAGGAGTCTGCCTGCTTGTCCCTCCACTGTCAGATCATTTAGTAACCCCCTCCCTGCAGGACACATACATGGAACCCCACACTGACCATTCTTGCATTTCTTCCATCAACAAACATTAATGGAGTGCTCAGACATACCTGACCAGGACCCACCCTGCTCAGCAGCCATCGGGGGCGCCTCAGCGTACCCCATCAAGTCCAAAAGCCTAGTCCTGGCTGACAAAAACTTGCGTGACCTCCCAGACTCCTGCCTTTCTATACCCCCTCCCATTCATAGACCAGCCACCCCCACATGCTGCCACCTTACCTCTCTCAGCCCTCCACATGCTGCTCCCTTTCTTTAAAACATCTGCTGCTGCTTTTTCAGTTGTTCAACCCCTGTTTACTCAGCTCAGGTGCTGACTCCTCCAGGGAGCCTTCGCTGACTGTCTTCCCATCCTGTTCCTACTTGACTGTCCTCTGTGCTTCTGTTGGCTCCTCAGATACCTAACTAGCACCCACCACACTGTGATAGCTTGTCAATGCCCCTTCCTCATGCCTGCTGTTTCTTTGGACCTTTGCAGCTGTTCCCTTTGCCAAGAACACACAGCCCCCTGCCCACCTTATTATGGACATCCTCATCTGCTGAAACAGTCACTATTACGTCCCCTCTTTCATTTTCTCCATAGCACTCTTCATGATCTTTTTTACTGTCTGACTTCTACACTGGAATCAAGCTCATAAGGGCAGGGACCGTATTGTCTGTCTTGTGCAAAGCAGATCCAGGGCCCAAAACTGTGCCTGGCATATTGGAGGACTCAGGATGCATTTGCTCAGTGAATGAATGGAGAGGCTGATTTTGAGTAGTGCCTTATGGGACCTTCCAGTTCTTAGACATCTAAAGAGAAAGGGGAGGAAGGAGAATGGGGGTAAGGGACGTGATGCCTGATCCAAATCAGAAACGGAGCCAATGGGTGATCATCTTCCCACCAATATCCAAACCCTCCTCCCTTACTGCTCAGTGAGTCAGCCAGCAGGAATGTCTTTGAGCCTATTTGGGAAAACAAGAGCAAGGAGGTTATTGCAGGCCCCTATCTTATTGAACGCCTGGAATTCCAACCAGAATGGGATCTAACCTACTGGGAGCTGGTGTTGAGAGCGCCTCCTGCTGGCTCTGCCATGGGTGAGCTACGGGTCAGTGACAACCTCTCAGAACCTGTTTTCTCCTCTGAAAATGGGCTAAGAATCGTAAAGACACTTGGAAGATTCAAGATGGGATATGTAAAGTGCTTATAAAGTGAATCAAGTAGTAAGACTCGCTGTAAAACAAAGACAAGACATGCAGAAAGGAACAAGAAAGAACAGAGAGGCAACATCAGAGAGAGGCAGGCGGTGAGTAACCCAGTGGGAGAGCCCAGTCTGACTGGTGGGAGTTTGTTTCTCCCAGAAGAGAAAGAGAAATTTAAAACATCCAAACTTTAGCACCCACTCCCTATTCAAAATGAGCTTCTGAGTTCTGAGTCCAGAACGGGCAAACATTTCTCTGCGATGTCCAGAGAGTTGACAGAAGTCGAGCACAGAGTAGGGGGGGGGGGTCACTCAGATGGGCAGGTGTGGTAGATTATGATCCCCTTTCTCAGCAGTCTGCTGGGAGAGGGTCTGCTTTCTCTATCCCTTAGTCGCAGGGAGGGAAAACAGCAGACTGGAAAGACTGCTGTCAGAAGGGGGTGCTGGGAGGGACAGCGAGCAGTGGTGGGAGATTGACTTGTCCTGCTCTCCCCCAAACGCCAGGCCCGGTACTAGGTGCTTCATTAAACCCAGGACAGAGTAGATCCCTTTCTGGGAGGGATTATTCCCATTCTACAGATGAAAGTGTGGAAGCCCAAGGCCAGTAAAAGTTATGAGAATTAGAAACTGAATCCCATTCAAAGTGACTCCAGAAAGTTCTGCGCTGCTTTTGCCTGGGAATTGAAAGGCCTGCACTTGGGAGCACAACGGGCTGTGATCCTAGACCAAGTCCTTTCTCTCTGGTCCAGGTTCTTCCTCTAGACAAGGAGGGTGGACCCTGAGCTGCTGACGCTGACATTCTCAGAATTCTGGACAGATGCCTCCCCCAGCTGAGTCAGGAGGGAAGCTGCCAGATCACCCTGCTGCCTCTCATCCACCTCCTTGCCCCAGGCCATGGGTCAGCGGCCCAGGGAGAGCACCTCTCCCACCCCAGCCCCAGACTGTGTGGTGCCTCATCACTGTGTGGAGGGGGGGTGTCCACCCCTCCACTCCTCTAGCCCAGGGATCCTGCAGCTTAGCCCAAGCCACTCAGTCTGCAGCAAATCTCAACAGTTTGGGGAAAAGAAACCAAAGATTGAAATAGGGGAACCTGGAGGAGGGCGGAGCAACATGGCGGCGAGGAGACGCTGCGAGTAAGATCTCCCATTAAAAAAAGTTAATAGGGAGGAAAAGCGGCAGGTCCCAGTGAGAAGTGGGATACGGAAGATAAACGGGTGACGCCAGCAAACTACCCGAGGAAGAAACTGGCCATAAAAGAGGACTAGAAGGGAGGGAAGCGCAGAACCCTGCTCCCCTCCCCCGCCCACAGAGGCGGCACTCTCCGACCGGCAGAGAGGAGGGAAACAACAAACCAAAACGACCAACAAGAACAAACGACGCAGCAAGCGGGACTGTGAGTGGAAAGGAACTATTGCAGCCACCACACCCCGTGAACGGGAGCTGAGGCGAACCCTGCAGGATCCGCCGCGGCGGTGAGCGAAGGCTCCGGGCGCCATTAGAGAAGAACAAAGACCCCGGGAGACGCGCACACAGCCCGGGCTGCCGGTAAGCTTGCGCGGGAAAGCGGCGCACTCGGCGCGCTTGAAAAGCAAGTGCAGACCTGGATCGCGGCTGCCCAGGTCCCCGCGCCTGCGACCTAGGCTTGCGGGGAGACGACCTAGGCTTGCGGGGAGACGCGCGGAGGTCCTCACTGAGATGAAGGTCCCTCCCTGAGTAAGCAGGAACCAGGTGCCCAGGCACGGGAGCGGTGCAAAAGGCGCCATTCCCGCGCCACTGAACTGGGCTACAGCCCGCGTCCTGGACCTGAGGGCTTTGAACTGAGACCCGGGGCACGAAAATTCGGGGCGTGGGTTCTCCACGACGGTGGGGCACAAGGCAGACACAGCACCCCAAAGCTGTTGAGGTGTACCCTACCATTCCCGCTCTGTTCCCTGTCCCACGGGGTGGGGGGAGGCGAAAAACAGCCCCCCAAGGACAATAGGAGAGATCTCTGGCGCCACCTAGCGACCAGGAAAAAAAAGTCACTAACACCCCATAAAACAGGAAATTTCTTAAGACTGCTTGAAAAGGGCAGAAGGCTTCTGGAGGACCCAGTGGCCAGCCGGGAAGTTATTCCACGCCAGGCCCCTTCCAACCAGCAGTCTGAGCCCACAGAGGGAGCAGGCACCCACGTCCGGGGCAGACCGGGTGCGCAGAAGAGTGTGCCTGAAACCGGAGGCGCAGGGACTGCATCCCGCTTCGCCATTTGAGAACAGGGACATTTCTTCAGTAAAAACTGCCTAAAACCAGCAGAAAGCTCCCCCAGAAGACAGAGATGGCTCCTGGAAGAGCCAGAGGGGAGCGGAGAAGTACACCCAAGATGTCAGTCAGTCCGAGCAACACAGTGTCCCAATGCATACGACAAATTAGAAAACAGACAGTAGGGAGTAGAAGAACCACACGCAACCTAAAAACTCCTCAGGAAAGAAGCACACCACAAAAAGAAAACCACTCCCCAGATTGCAACGACAGCAACTTGGAAGAACTTCTGAGCCTTCCAGAAAGAGAATTTAAAATTGCCATGATTAAAAAAGTGATAGATCAGAAGAAGGAAATTGAGTCCCTAAAGAGGGAAGTAAGAGAAATGCAGGAGATCAAAGAATTAATGGAGGAACTAAAGAACTCTGGGAAAAGCAATGAAAGCAGAATAGATGAAATGGAAGAACGAATAAGTAATCTTGAAGACACAGAAATAAAAAGAACCAAAACAGAAAAGGAAAGAGAAGTACGAAGGAAAAAGAATGAAGAAAGACTTCGGGAACCATCTGACTCCATGAGGAAAGGAAATATAAGAGTTATAGGAATTCCAGAAGGAGAGGAGAGAGATGTAGGAACAGAGAAAATATTCATGGATATAATTGAAGAGAACTTCCCAAATGCGAAGAAGGAGCTGAAAATTGATATACAAGAAGCAAGAAGAACACCAAACTTCCACGACGAAAGGAAAAACACAGCAAGACACATAATAGTAAAGCTCCCAAGAATCCAGGACAAGGAAAAAATAATGAAGCTGACAAGAGGGAAGAAACAGATAACATTCAAAGGAAAACCAATCAGGCTGACATCAGACTTCTCTGAAGAAACACTACGGGCAAGGAGAGAGTGGAGGGACATAGTCAACAGACTCCAAGAAAACAGATGCCAACCAAGAATACTCTATCCCGCAAAGCTCTCTTTCCTCCATGAAGAAAGAATATGGACCTTCCCAGACAAAGAGAAACTCCGGAATTTCATTGCGACTAAACCCCCACTCCAAAAAATACTACAAGGAATCCTAAAGCCAGAACCTCAGAGGGACGAATAACAACGAAAGAAGACCAAAAAAAAAAAAAAAGTTATTAAAAGAATAAATAAATAAAATCAAAGGAAAGACAAACATAATGGCAAATACAGATGCTAACATATCAATATTAACTCTAAATATAAATGGACTAAACTCTTCAATAAAAAGACACAGAGTTGCAGCCTGGATTAAGAAACAAAACCCAACCTTTTGCTGTCTCCAGGAAACACATTTAGCTACAAAAGATAAAAATAGGCTCAAAGTCAAAGGATGGAAAACAATCCTACAAGCAAATGGGCCAAAAAAGAAAGCAGGAACAGCTATACTTATATCAGATAAAACAGACTTCAAACTCAAAAAAATAAAAAGAGACCCCAATGGTCACTACATTATGATTAAGGGGACAATACTTCAAGAAGAAATAACACTCATTAACATATACTCACCAAACGAAAGAGCACCAAAATATATCAGACAACTGTTGTCCTCTCTGAAAACAGACATCAGAGAAAACACATATGTAGTGGGAGACTTCAACACACCACTATCAACAATGGATAGATCAACAAGACAAAAAATAAGTAAAGAAACTAAAGCTCTAAATAAGGACCTAGAGCATTTGGGCTTAACAGACATCTATAGAACACTAAACCCAAAAAAAACGGAGTACACATTTTTCTCAAGCGCACACGGATCATTCTCCAGGATCGATCACATACTGGGGCACAAGACAAACATCAACAGATACACCAAGATTGAAATCATACCAACCATCTTTTCTGACCACGAAGGCATCAAACTAGAAATAAATCATAAAAAGAAGGCAAGGAACTATCCTACCTCATGGAGATTAAAAGCCACACTACTGGAAGACCACTGGACTAACGAGGAGATCAAAGAAGAAATTAAAAAATTCTTTGAATTGAATGACAAGGAGGACACCAATATCCTAAATGTATGGGATGCAGCAAAAGCAGTAATAAGAGGAAAATATATAGCAATAGAAGCTCACATCAAAAAACAAGAAAGAACTCAAAGAAACAACCTAATCTCGAAGCTCAAAGATCTAGAAAAAGAACAACAAAAAAACCCCAAAACCAGTAGAAGAAAAGAAATAATAAAAACCAAAGCAGAAATAAATGAAATTGAAACTAAAAAAACAATCCAAAAGATCAATGAAACCAAGAGCTGGTTCTTTGAAAAAATAAATAAAATAGACAAACCCCTAGCCAGGCTCACAAAGGAAAAAGGGAGAAAGCACAAATACACAGAATCATAAATGAAAGAGGAGAAATCACAACGGACACAGCAGAAATCAAAAGAATAATCAGTAACTACTATGAACAGTTATATGGAAACAAGTTCAACAATCTAGAGGAGATGGACAAATTCCTACAACTCTACAATCACCCAAAGCTAGATAAAGAAGAAATAGAACACCTAAACAGACCAATTACAAGCAGCGAAATTGAAATGGTAATTAAAAACCTCCCCAAAAACAAAAGCCCAGGACCTGATGGATTTACAAATGAATTCTACCAAACATTCAGAGACGAATTAATGCCTATCTTTCACAAACTCTTCCAAAAAATTGAGAAGGAAGGGACAATACCAAACACGTTCTATGAAGCCAATATTACACTAATACCAAAACCGAATAAGGACAACACAAAAAAGGAAAACTATAGGCCAATCTCCCTAATGAACATTGATGCAAAAATCCTCAATAAAATTTTAGCTATCAGAATCCAACAATGTATCCATAAGATAATTCACCACCACCAAGTTGGATTCATTCCAGGGGCACAAGGATGGTTTAACATCCGAAAATCAATCAATGTTATCCAACACATCAACAAAAATAAATATAAAAACCATATGATAATATCAATAGATGCTGAGAAAGCTTTCGACAAAGTGCAACACCCATTCATGATAAAAGCCCTTGAAATTCTTGGGATACAAGGAACATACCTCAACATCATAAAGGCCATCTATGACAAGCCAACAGCCAGTATCATTCTCAATGGTGAAAAGCTGAAAGCAATTCCATTAAGACCTGGAACAAGACAAGGATGTCCACTCTCACCACTGCTTTTCAATATAATACTGGAAGTCCTAGCCAGAGCAATAAGACAAGAGAAAGACATCCAAGGAATCCAAATAGGAAAAGAAGAAGTCAAACTATCACTATTTGCAGATGATATGATAATATACATAGAGAACCCCAAAATCTCCACAGAAAAACTAATTCAACTCATCAATCAATTCAGTAAAGTGGCAGGATACAAAATCAACACGCAAAAGTCAGTAGCCTTCCTATACACAAACAATAAATCTGAAGAAGAAGAAATCAAAAAAACCACCCCTTTTATTATCGAAACAAAAAAAATCAAATATTTGGGAATAAATCTAACAAAAGAGGTAAAGGACCTATACAAAGAAAACTATAAAACACTGTTAAAAGAAATAGAAGAAGACACAAAGAAATGGAAAGATATCCCCTGCTCATGGATTGGAAGAATAAACATTATTAAAATGGCCATCCTACCAAAAGCAATATACAGATTCAATGCTATTCCAATCAAAATCTCAATGGCATTCTTCAAAGAAATAGAACAATTATTGATGAAATTCATATGGAATCACCAAAAACCCCGAATAGCCAAAGCTCTACTGAAAAAAAAAAGAAGGAAATGGAGGCATCACACGCCCAGACTTCAAACTCTACTACAAAGCCATAATCATCAAAACTGCATGGTATTGGAACAAGAACAGACATACAGACCAATGGAATCGAATAGAAAATCCAGAAATAAACCCACAGATTTATGGTCAACTAATCTTTGACAAAGGAGCAAAGACTATGCATTGGAGCAAAGAAAGTTTGTTCAATAAATGGTGCTGGGAAAACTGGGTCGCTACATGCAAAAGAATGAAGCTTGACCACTACCTCACACCATACACAAAAATCAACTCAAAATGGATTAAAGAACTAGACATAAGACCTGAAACCATAAAATACATAGAAGGAAATATAGGCGAAACACTACGGGATTTGCACATCAAAGACATCTTTACAGACACATCACCCAAAGCAGTGATAGTGAAGAGAAAGATAAACAGCTGGGACTACATCAAATTAAAGAGCTTCTGCACAGCAAAAGAGACAATAACAAAAACAAAGAGAAACCCCACCAACTGGGAGAACATTTTTGCACCCAACACTAATGATAAAGGACTGATCACAAAAATCTGCAAAGAGCTGATGAGACTCAGCAACAACAAAGAAAATAATCCAATCAAAAAATGGGCAGAAGAGCTAAAAAGAAACTTCTCTGAAGAGGAAATGCAAATGGCCAGCAGACATATGAAAAAATGTTCAACATCACTTGTAATCAGGGAAATGCAAATCAAAACTACCTTGAGATACCATCTCACACCAGTGAGAATGGCACATATTAAAAAAACTAGCAACAACAAATGTTGGCGAGGATGTGGAGAAAAAGGAACTCTTGTGCACTGTTGGTGGGAGTGCAAACTGGTCCAACCACTATGGAGAGCTGTGTGGAGATTTCTGGACCTACTAAACATAGAGCTTCCATATGATCCAGCAATTCCACTCCTAGGTATTTACCCAAAGGACACAGAAACATCAATTCCAAAGAGCACCTGCACTCCTATGTTTATAGCAGCACTGTTTACAATAGCTAAGCTTTGCAAACAACCCAAATGCCCAAAAATAGATGACTGGATCAAGAAGATGTGGTACATATATACCATGGAATATTACTCAGCATTCAAAAAAGATAAACACATGCAATTTGCAGCAACATGGATGGCACTGGAAGGGATCATGCTCAGCGAAATAAGCCAAAAAGAAAAAGAAAAATACCGGATGGTCTCACTCATAGCAGGAATCTAGAAAACTTAAATAAGGGACCAGGAAAATGAATATAAGAAAGTGAAAATCAAAATCAACAAAAAACTATGAACCAGAGACACTTTTTGGGGGGTGGGGGGCGGGAGGGGAAGGATTGGGGTCAGAATGGGGCGTTTGCAATTGTATGGGGGAATATAAAAATAAAATTTAATATTAAAAAAAAAAAAGAAAAAGAAAAGAAACCAAAGTATCAGGTCCTTAGGCACCTACCGCCCCCCCCTCCCCCAAACAAAACAAAACAACAACAACAACAACGTTGAGCCTTCTGGAAGCCCCACAGGTCAGATTTAGGCTAGTGTTTCTCAAACTAAATTAAAAAAATAATTACTTCAGCCTCCCAAGAACTTAAACTTTTGTAAAATTAAAGAGAGATGCTTGACAGTGGTGATGGCTACAGAACACTGAGTCTACTTAATGTCGCTGGTCTATATACTTAAAAATGGTAAAGTGGTATGTTTTATTTTGCAATAACAACTTTTAATGGATACCATTTTTTAAAATGATGCAAATACTAGCCTCAACTTTTAATAGTATGCAACAGGCTTTGTAAGATTGTTAAAAAAGTTTCTAAATGCTTACTTTCCATTTCTGTGCTTATCTCCTTGCAGACTAGTAACCATCTATGGCCTGGCAGTGATCCCAGAAATGCCCTTGATGGCAGGTATCCAGGCTGAGAGGTGGGCACTGGCTTTGCAGAGCCTCTCAAGAGATTTGCCAGAAGGAAGAAGACTCCTGCCCCCCTGCCCCCTAGCAGGCCTTTCTGGTTCCCAGCCAGTCAATCCCCAGCAGTTCCCACCAGGCACACGGGTCTGATTTGTGATTGGACCCCACCTTCCACCCCATCTGCCTCCCCGGGCCTTCTTGATGGACACTTTTATTGAAGTGTCCCAGTCAGTGGCCGTGGTAAGCATCAGGGGCTGTGGGGTGGGAGATGGAGTGGGGCTGTGGGGTGGGAGATGGAGTGGCTTGAGTTGGGGAGAGAAGTTCAGGGTAGAGACACGCTTTCTTTGCTCTAGTCACTATATCAAACTTGGTCCAAGCATCAGCTCCTACAGGAAGTCACCCTGGGCCGGCAGCCAAACCAAGAGCCTCCATCTGTGCCTCCACATCATAGAACAGTCCCCCCACACTTGCATAGAATGGCTGCAATGGTAAGTTCAAAAGCGGTGCCTATTCCTGGGGCCAGGGTCAGGGCGGAGGGCTGGCCTTGGTGGAAGGTGTGGGCAGGGTTCAGGCCTTGCTGGATGTCCCAGTGCAGGGTACTGTATGCACAACTCTGAGCAGCAGCCTGGTGCTTGGAGCCCCAGACTCATCTCTGCCAGACTGTGTGTGGGTGGGGTGGGGGGTCATTAGAGTATGGCAACTGTGTCTGGGATGTCACACCTGGAGCACAGTGGCTTCTGTCTCTCTGAGCAATGGTCATCATCAAGGGCTTTGAAAAAATCTAGACACCTGGCCTCCAATTTTAGGAATTCTACCACCAAAGGTCTGATGAGGGTGCTGGGTCTCTGTATTCTCTGTAATTTGAAAAAGTGCCATGTGACTCTGATGTCCAGCTGGTGTCTGACCCATGAGGCTCGAATGTTTGGTGACCATGGCTGTAGAGGTGCAGCGTGCTTCTGGGGAGAGATATAGGGTCTCCTGTGGCCTCTGGGGAGGGGACCTGAGGGACATCAGAGCAGAGAGAGTCACTTTTTATTATATACCTTTTGTACTGGACTTTGGCGCTCAGACAGTTGGACTGACTGTAGTTGCTGTCATCTGTCAGGGACTGCAGGTCTGGGCCTGCGGTCGGGGGGCAGTGGGTGAAGGGCAAAAGTGGGTGGACAGAGGAATGGGGAACTGCAGAGCACACGTCCCAACTCAAGGGGGCAGCAGCTACCAGAGCCTGCAGATTCTGTTTGTCTGGGTGGAATGAAAGCCGAGTTTACCAGATCTGGTTTTTTCAAGATAAGCTTGAAATCAGATTTTCAAGTGGAATTAATTGTCGACTAATTTAAAAATTTCAAACACAGCATGGGCCAAAGACAACATGCAGACGAACTCTGGCTACAGGCCACCACTTTGTACCTTGGGATCGAGCAAGATGGACCCAGCCTGAAAAGCCAAGGGAGAGCTATCCTTTCTTCTAGAAAATTTGGTTCATGCCCCTTGGGGGTGAAGACAAAGACGGTGCCCCCAGCAGACCACGGGAGTCACCTGCCCAGAAATAATGATTTAATTCAACCTTTCACTGTGTGCCAAGCTCTGTGCTGATACTGGGATCCTGTGGTGAATGTGACAGGTGAAGTCTCTGCTTTGGGGGCCCTTTATTCTAGCTGGGGAGACATATTTGAAAATAACTTCTTATGAATAGAGCTGTGATACATGAGGAACTGCAGCATTTAAAGCATTTAGACTCCTGACTCTAGCACTCCTAGTATGTCACTGTGGGTAAATCACCTAATCGAAGCCTCAGTTGCCTCATTTCTTGCCTATGAAATGGGCATAATGTTATGGGGTTGTTCTGGGGATTGAGATAATTCAAATTATTAGCTCCTGCTGTGGAGTCGAGATCTGTGAGAACACTTGCGAGCCTGAGCAGAAGACCCCTACTGACACCCTCCCCCACCCTAGGCCATATCGGGCTTCTTGCCAGAGAGGGGAGCCAGAGGCCTGTACCACCGTTCTGCTGGGGTGGGGCAGCAGTGGGCATCTGGCTAGCCTTGCCTTTTTCTTCTTCCCTTGGGCCCCTTTCACAGCCCACTTGTCTTCAAAAGGACTTGTCCAAGGGCAGGGAAGGTACTTCTCTTGACCACACAGGGTGAGAACCCCTCCACTGAGACTGCTGCATCTCGGAACTCATCAAACCCTACAACTAAGTTTTTTTAAATCCGGGTGCCTGTATAAAAACAAGTCAACAAAACTTCCTGGGAGCCCTTATGTGCAGAACACCAACTTCCACTGCCAGAGGCCTCCGACACTGGGACACTTTGGACCTTTTATTTGACGTGGACGAAGAGGGCGGAGGAAAACAGCCAGACTTAAGTGCTGACACTGTTTCTGGGGCCTGGAAGTTCAGCTCAGTGGGGGAAACATCAGTGGCCAAGACTACTCCCTGGTTCCAGGTAGAGAAGACCCAGAACCACAGCTTTGGATTTGGAAGGGAACTCCAGGGCATGTGATCCAACCTCCGGCACAAGGGGGAAGCTTCTCTAAGGGAGCAGGGCCTTCATCTTCCAATTGTTCCTGAATTAAATGTTCAGAGAACTGAATTAACAGTAAAGCCACCAAACCCTGCTCTGGAGGACAGATTTGCCCAGGGTGCTGAGACACCCACCACTGGAAATCAGAACTCTCCACTGGGGGAATAACACTGATGGTAGAAAGGAATATCTTTCTGAAGGGCTGGTGGGTGGGGATGAGACCTCGTCCCCAGAAATATCAAGAGAAGGTCAGTCTTTTTAAGGAGGGTGGCATTGGATGGATCTGGGCAGAGTTGAGTTTTTCAGCAAGAGAGGGGGCCCCCAAGCTGCCAGAGCAGCCCCCCACCCCTCCGCTTGTGCAGGGCTGAAGTCAGTGGGCCTAGATTATACTCTTACCAGCTGACGATCTGGGGCAAGTTACATAACCTTCCCTCCCAGCTTACATCTACATCACAGGGCTGGGATTGAGAACTTACATAACAGTGACTGGAAGTAACTGCTCAATAAGTAGGTTTGTTTGTTAAGGTCTCACCATTTCCCTGTCAACAGTGGAATTTGCCCACCTCTGGTTCCCAGGTTCCTCAGTGTGGTGCAGGTCACATCTAGGGCTCCAGGGGAACCCTCCTCCCCAGCTCAGACCCTCACCACCTCATCTCTGCCCTGCCTCCACAGCCTCTGGCTGAGGTCTCCATGGCATCCTCCTGCCAATTCATCCCGCCCCATTCTCTCGCCCTCAAAATGACCTTTCAGTGCACACCACCAACCTGTGATCTACAGCCTTCAAAGGGTCGCCGTCGCTTAGGATAAAGGAAATGGAGTCGGGCCCCTTCTCTGAGGTCCTGTGGTAACTACGGCGGGTTCTGAGCATGCTGCAAGTACCAGCTTGCCAAGGCTTTAATAATTGCTTGGGTCCATATTTGACTTCTCTAAGGACTTGCTCAACTTTTCCCTCCTTTAAGCATCTCTGACCACTGAAGCCCGTGGTTATTCCCTCCATCAAACCACTATAGTACAGACATCTGGTTGAGAACAACATTCTCACATGTCCTGCAGCTCTCCTCCTCCCCTCGTGCCAAGCACACAACAGCTGGAATACCATTGCATCTTTTCATCTTTAGTGTACAGGTATAGTCCAATGGGTAGAACACTCTAGAGGTTTGTTAAATATGGGGCTGGGGCCTTCTTTACATCCTTCAGACCTCTTTTGTACTGAGGCCAATCACCATGTCCAAGTACAAAAGCCTCAGGAAGAAGGGATGGCCTCTTTTCTCCCTCAAGCCAAAGGAAACAGAGCATGCGTTGCAGCGACAGCCCCAGGCTGCTGTCACAAGACCAGGGCCTTACGAGACTAGCTGATGACAGAAGTGCTGCCAGGAGAGGCCGGAGATGCCCACTGGGGTCAGGACTGAGGACACCCAGGCCAGGGGAGTCACAGACTGACACTTCAGAAGCTATACCTGCCCCCGCCCCCCAAAACCCTTTTCCTCCAAGTTATAGGCAAAGAGCTTTGGAGTGGTGGGTACTTAATTAAACCTAGCTCAGCCATCTTGTCTTATCTAGGAGAAAATTGAGGGCTAGGACTAAACGCTTCTGTAAAGGGCAGAGGTGAAACAGAAAAGCCAGGGGTTCTGATTTTGCCGATAAGATGTACTCCCTTCAGTTCCCTGCTACACTGCTGTCACGAGGTGGGCACTCAGAACCACCGTCTGACACCAAGCCGCAGCCACCATGGCGTTGTAACTGGGGAATCCTCTCCACTCATCTTGATCCTTTGCCTTTCCCTGAGCTGTTCCCATGCCCACATCCTTTATGAACAAATCTGCTGCCATCTGTAGGACACCTAGTATCATTACTCCTAATTTCTATCTTCAGATATTTACATGCCCAATTCTAAGGACTGGATTTCCGAGGCACCACCTCACCCACGCAAACAAACACCTACCATGTGCCAGAAACCAAGGAACTGAGGATGGACGATGCCGAGTCCCTGCACACAAGCCTCACTGTGTCCTCTTTGTTGTCTGAACCTATTACACTCAACTACACTTGAGCTTGCTCTTGTGTGCCCTGCGAAGTCCTAACTTTCAATTCAGATTTTTTTCCCCAGAATTCTAACAAGTGATCATTTAGTCTAATTTGTAAATGAATTCAAGGCACATAAAAGCTGCATAATCACTCCCAATTCAAGAGTATAACTTGGCTCACTCCCTGGTCTCTAACTGAAATTCTAAGTATGTATTTGAAAGAGTTCTATTTGAAAGAGTACTCTCAACTTAATCCTAACTTAGGAGGTTAAGGGTAGGAGTCTATCATCCTTATAAATTTGGTAAAACCCAAATCAAGAGGAAGCCAGAGCTGTGGGGCACACGCACGGTGACACCAGAGCCCTGAGCCGGCCGCAGGACCAGCTTCGCTGTCCAAGCTCTCATCAGAGGTGGGAGCTTCCAAGAGGTTTGATACAGATGCCGGAAAGCAAATAATCCTATGTAATTAAGGCTATTTCACACAGGAAAGTTGCCAAAGGCTTTCCCTGAATTGAGAGGTAATGCTCTAACGACAGTGATGGCTTCTGGGTACAAGATGTTGTAATTGCCAACCTGAACCACACAAGTCAAACGCTACTCTGGAAAATAAAAGTTCCCTTTATCAACTCAAGGAGTTGCTACAGTGGCACAGAAAGTTTTAATCTTCCAATTCCTGAATCATAGCTTCTACCACAGAAAATACTAGGGCACAGCCGCACCCCCCCCCCAATTGAAACGTGAAGCTAGCGAACTGTCGAATATCTAATTTATCTTATGATTTCCATTAAAATGTCCTCTAAAAACACAATTTGTATTTAATCTGCCTTTTTAGTAGGGACTCAGGCACAAAAAAATTGCTTGTTTGCAAATAAACATCTGAAAGACTATCATAACAGCTGATCTGGGCCCAGGCTTCACAACAAAGTGACGATTGTGGAAGAAGACAATGAGAACGCCTGCAGAGCTAGAAACTCAAAGGGCAGAGAACTTGCAGGGATGTGTGTGCTGGGTGATTTCTACCAGCCAGAGCCCCCGCTGGAACACACAGAAACCGGGAGGGTCACTGTCACGTCACAGTTTATTACCTGGACAGAAGGAAGCCACTACCACCAACAGCACTGTGCAGTTTTATTAACCATTCAAGTACAGTAGCATCTGGTAAGATTGGGACAGAATTGGGATTTAAAAGTGAACAGATATTCAGCATCTAACAGTTTGAAAGAAGCCACTACATACTCTTCACAAACATGTTTTCACAGAGCCAATACAGTACTAGCCATTAACCCAGTGCACCAAGTGCACTGAAGTAGAAAAGATGCAACAAGAAAAATAGCTACATTAGAAAGACCTCAACACTTTAGAAAAAGAGTAAAACACTTTTAGTTTCTCCCCTTTAGCCCCTAAAACAACATCATACAGTCTGGATCTACCTATACAGTCCTACATCAGCTTCTAGAGTATTTGTCAGGAGGGCAAAAATAAAATGACACTGGCCAGTACAGTCTTTGGATATTTAGGAAGGGGAGGGGGAGAAAGTCAGTTCTCAGAACAAATTAGTCAGCTTCAGTCTCATCAGCAGGATCTTTGGATTCTTTGTTCTTCCGCACTTCCTCAACATGCTTGTCCTATAAAGAAATAGTATATATCATCAGTCAAATAAAAAAGTCTGCCAAGTTGCGGTCCCAAAAGAGGCCTGACGTAGCCTCAGGTCATGTACCAGAGCCATGGAAATCACATAATCATCTTTCTGGTCCATTCACAGAACCTAAAGATGGAGTCTCCCACTACTCTTCTAAAGAAAATGCAATTATGCTGGAAATCATTGAATATTGTTTAAAATGAGATACCTCTCATTTAGCATGTTAAGCCCCCAAATTGCCTTCTAGTCAAGGCAATTCGTTTAAGCCACTTCACTGGTGCATCAAACTTCAAGCTCGTAGCCTATCTTAGAGTAAGGCTGAGACACCAACCTTCTCTCGCAAACGCTCCAGTTTGGCAGCCATTTGTGCCTCTCGGTTCTCTTTGTTGGCTTCCATTTTGTGGGTCAGTTTCTCTTCCGCCATTTTACTGAAGTTGTTGTTCTCTTCTATTGCTTTCTGGAGCACTTCTTTCTCGTGCTCTCGTTTCTCAGCAAGCTGCTTTAAGACCTCAGCTTCATGGGACTGGAAAAAAGTTGAACAGGCTAGGCTCTCTGAATGTATTTAGCATTGTTAAAATACCAACAGAAATTCTTAATTGGGGAGATTGAAAAGAGGCAGAAAAATCAGATCTCTGTATACTGAAGTCAGGACCTGAATTATCTCTATCATAAAATAATATGAAAAAGCATAACTTTTCTAGTGTTTGTATTAAATTTGGTAAACTGTCCAGGTCTGTTCAAAGACTACTGCCCAATTATTCCTTAAGGAAATCTTTGTAAGATTTATTGCATAGTGGTGTCTCGATGACTTGTGTGATACGCACTTAGGAATGGAACTTCATTGTAAGGAATTTTGGTTATTTAACATCAAAGGCTTTCTTTCCAAAGAAAATATGTCCATCATTTAAAATGTAATTATATTGACATAAAAGAAATGCATAAATGACACAACATTTAAGACTAAGTCTCCAGATTTAAGCCAGAAGGATTTGTTTCAAGGAAAAAGCCTATTAGCTCTTCCGCATTAACTTCCATATACCACCAGAGCTGTTACCAGTGTACCGCCCTCCACACTCACAATAGCTTGTTACCAAACAGATTTAGATGTTTTTGGTAGAACTGACTTGCAGGAAAGATGTAGGGCATCTGCCACTGGTTCTGTTAACTCTCTTCTGCAATATGCCAGTCATGATAAGTGTCTCACTGTGTTAATCCAGTTACTACATAAAGCACAGGCAAGTCCATAAGGCTGAGATTGACTCCTAAAAATTTTTTCTGTCCAGCCTTTGCTTGCTTCCCTTCCATAATATCAAATCAACTCCGTCAACTCCATGAATTCAAAATATACAGAAGAGCAAATTACAACGCAGCGGTGCAAACACTGCCACTCTTTGGGGACAATACACAGCATCAACAAGGATACATAGCACTAAGTGGGGCAGCAGCTTTAAAAAATAGGGGCCTATGACATGAGGTAAAATGTACTAGACTTCAAGCTGCACGGGCTGTGCTGGTCACCAGCAGGTTACTACTTCACCTTCTTGTCCTTTTAATTCTAAAATTAGAATCAGGGTTGTTGGAAAAGGGAACTAAACGGGAATTTATATAAAGTTCTTAACGAGTAATGAAAGAAAGGAAATATATGAAAATGTAATAGTAGTTAATTCTGGGAGGTAAGATAATGAATATTTTTAATTTCCTACTTCTAAACTTCTGTGGTTCCCAATTTTTCTGTAATCAGCATATTAATATTTGTTCTTTTTTCTGATTAGTTCTCTTTAAGGATTACTTTTCATAACAGAATTGCTTACATAAAAGCTACAATACCACTATGCCAGTAGAGCAATTAAAAATATTTTAATTATAGCTCTCAAAACAAACAAAATCCTAAAACAAAACAAAACAAAATCACCCACCAACAAATCTAATTTTCAAAAACAAAGCATGATGCATGAACTTGGTTTCAGACAGACCTGGGCTTGAATCCTGGCTCCAACACCTATTGGCTATATGACTTTGGGAAAACTCCTTCACTTTTCCCGAGACCATTTTCTAATCTCCGTATCTCAGTAATACCTACCCTTCTTTAGGCCGCCCTATGAAAGGAGCAAAATAAACGAGTTGTCATGTAATAGAAGCTCAGTAAATGATGGCTGGTATTTTCTTCCAGCAACTGGCATGTATAATTTTCACACAGCTTGAACAATGGTCTAGATACAATTCTGTTTTCCTCTTGTAATAGAAATAAAACGGATTTGCCACATTAATAAAAATCCTGTTTTGTATGAATTGTGATGTTTACCTTGCGTCTTTCTTCTGCAGCTTCTAATTTCTTCTGAATTTCCTCCAGGGAAAGATCCTTCTTCTTTGGAGGGGAAAGGGGGAATTCTGGGACAGACTCTTTTGATCGAGGGCTGAGAATCAGCTCAAAAGCCTGGCCTGAGGCACGCTTCTCCAGTTCTTTCACCTGGATATCTGGAGTTGATCATATTTATAATGGATTCAGAAAAAAGGGGTTTTTCTAGTCTAAGAAATTGTTCTTTAATTTTCTAAAAACCAAGTTAATATACTGAATAAAGGCTGCTGGAAGAAGTTGTAGTTGTTGCAGGCAAGAATTACTATCTAAATGCTACCTCCCAGAAAAACAAAGCTCAACATGTTTGGAATAATAAATACCATTCTGAGGTATCAGTATTTGACAATTCCTTTCATGAACAAAAGAAAGACTTGTGCAAAACTCCAGATTTTTGCTTTAGACCAAGCTATATTTTCTAGTAAGAAAACAATTAATTATGAGTGCATTCAACGGATAATCATTTTTACTTCATTCTTCTATTCATAAATAAGAGTTTTGGCTGACAAAAACACAAAATGTCAAAATGAAGGTTTAGGACCTAAGACACCTCCTCAAATTGTAATCCTATTATAATTCCAGCTTTTCCAAATAGATTACCTACCAGAAGAAGCCATGGCGAAGAGAAGACAAGAGACGGGCAGTGTACTCTAGACAATCCACTGGCAAGGAAAACCCTGAAAACGATTTTCAAAAGCATGCAATCAATTTCTTTGCATTTCTACATGCCACCCATACAAAGGGACCTCCAATCACATTCACATAAATCACTGTCAGAAAAATCACTACCGAGGAATTAAAAAAGACGTCACACACTCGGAAAGGAAAATCAAAACCTATTAAAATACTGAAATATTGGGGAATTCCTATTGAAAAGAACTTTGGTTGCACTAAATCATGGTCACTGGGATTGGCCCTTCAAAAAACAACTCTTGGGATTTCTTTAATGAGCCCAGGTTAAGTCACAAGATTTTCCTTCCCCCCAATAGTAGACCGGAGCCATCTTAACACTGCTTACAACTCATTGTGCAAATGAAACACCCACCCCTGCTTTGTCTGCGTCTGCCTGGGTGGAAAACAGACCGCCCAGCCCGCCCCGGCCCGCCACGCCCGGCCCCCAT